AGCCACTGAGATGGTTTGTCATTAAGCAAAAGTTAAGCAGTATACTTTCTGAAATGCAAAAAGTAGAGATGGATGGTGGCAAGAAAAACTGCTGCTTCTACAAGGATGTATTACAGAATGTGTAAATCAGGCATATCTGCGTAGGCAATCATTCATTCATTCAGTAGATATGCATCGAATGTTTATTGTAAGCCTGACATTTTTATTGGAGACATAGCCATGACCCAAACATACCAAGTTCTTGAATTCATGGAGCTTAGTTTTTAGTTGATAAAGAATATAGTAACAAAAAAATATAACTTCAGAGACTGATCAGGCAGTGAGAAAAATAAAGTGGTGAATAGAAATACTGATATTAAAGGGATTGAGATGGTCAAGGGAAAACCTCTCTGAGAAGGTAATATTGGGGCAGAGACCTGACTTTCAATACAGAATCACTCACGCAAAGATCTAAAGAATAACATTTAAAGCAAAGGGTATAGTAAGTATAAGGACCTGAGGTAACAAAGTGTGTTGGGGAAATAGGAAGAAGGCCAATGGAGCTGAAAGAGTAACATTTTGTTCTTCTAAATTGCCTGCAACCACTGGTCTCTGCCCACTTTTCCTCCACTAAGCCAAAAATAACTTACTGCTTCACTTGTTTAATTTTACATTTATCATTCCGCAAATATTTATGGAGCCCCTGAAATAGGCCAGGCATTCATCTAGCCCCTGAAGATATCAAGATGTATACTACAAAATTTCCTACTCTCAAAGCGTTCACATTCTAGTGATGGATACAGACAAGTAAGCAAAGAGCTATAATACCCCATGATATTAATATAACACAGACAGGAAATAACATTTCTAGTAAACAAAGGAGGAGGCAAAGGCAAAAGTATGCATGTGCTTGAGACAGATAAAAAGTTAACCATGAAAAAGGGCAAGAAAAAGCCCAAGTGCCAGGAAGCTGCGAGGGCAAATCTGAGCTAAGAACTGGAAGTGCTAATGAAGACTCAACAAGGAAACCTGGAAGAGTATTCAAGAGGGTCCTAGTGAATGTGGGTGAATGGTCTGTTGCTTTCAATCTTGAAACACTTCCTGCAATATCATGTTCCATTTAAAGCGCTTCAATCATGACTACTAGCCTGCATGCAAACACATTTTCCCATGTCCCTGTGAGATAAAATTCTACCTCTAGCCAAGAGCCAAGCCTTCCAGAAGCTACGCCATGATACAGAAATCCAAATTCAACTCATCAACACCATCTGCATAACCAGCTGTTCACCTCCCAGATTTTTTACAAGTAGCGCATGTTCACAGGGGAAAAAAAAAAAATTTATGAATGAAAATGTTATCTGTGCTTTGAAGTCCTGCATTTTATAAATTCAAAATCATCCTCTAATGTTCTCTGACAATGTTATTTATGCCACCTGGAGAAGCAGGTTGTATGTGTCTTAAGGCAGGACTTGGATCTTTGGTAATTTTTAGCAATGTCTTTATCCTAAGAATCTAATAGCACATGCCAGGAAATCAGCATGTGTGTTTGTCAATTTGTCAAGATGGTCACATTCAGCAAGCTCCATGTCACCTATAGGCATTCTTCAGCCACAGCACAGTGTCTCAGAACCTCCTGTTGTCCCATGCTTATTTTCCAGAGGATTTGATTTCCTGTTCATTCATCCATCTATTCATTTATTCACAAACTTTACATAACACCTATTATTTACTCAATAGATAACAATCAAAATGCAATGAAACATGTCTTCCCAGTATTGTCAATTGTCCAAAGGATTTTTTCTCTGTTCCTTTCACTGAGGATGATAAAAGTGCATAACATAGGTCATTTGAAAGAATAAATGAAATATTGCAAGTAAAGGACTTAAAACTGAAACTGGCACATAGTAAATACTCATTATGTGCTTGCTATTATTACTGTAATAATGTATAAAAACAGGATAATGCACAAGACATATATTATGACCCACAATATAGGAATATAAATAATTGTAAGCACATGTACATAATTGTGCCTCATCTATATTGGCAACACATACATACATTTAAACAATTATCCAATAAATTACAGTAGCATTACAGCATATCTGAATAATGTAATTTATTTTTTATGTGTAGTTTATTTTTTAAAAATCCAGTTGGCTTTGATTGTATTCACTTGCCATTTCAGTCTATCATTGTGGGTAACAAAGGTATGATTTGTTGCTTTCTTGATTTATTTGTAATATAAGTTTATAATTTAGTGGAAACCCAAGAAGGAACATCAATAACACAGATAATGTTATTTAATTAGATAATTTATTAGATTAAAAAAATTAACCTAAAAAGCATCAAACTATGTTGTCGAGGAGACTTTGGAAGGCAATGTTCAGTCAGATTCTGTGACCTATGCCAAGTAGACACTCTTAAGGATAAAGAATTTAAACACCTCGTCCCTCTGCTGCCTGTGTCTCTGATCCAGAACATCACGTCTTCAAGGCAGCTGGGTGTAACAGATTTTGGTCATAATGGCTGCTTGTTCATGTTGTTGCCCCAGATAATTACTACAGAATTCCTGCATCTCATTATAGTACTCTCAAAAGTACATTTTTTTTCCCTCTTATTTTTGGTCTGTGGTTTCCACAAATTTGGGAAAGTCGAACACAATTAAAAATATTGGATGAAGACTATGAATTTGAGAGTCAGAAGAATTTACTCTTCTTACCTTCATCAAGACTAAGTCCAGAGGTTTCTTTTCATGTTAACCTTTACCCTGAAATATGTGAAAGCAGTAGGATACTGGAGAAGACATTGCAATATGGACAGCTATGAACAGTTTACAAGTTTACATCTTCAACCTATCTAGGCAGGCTGTTATCACCTATGACAAGGAAGGCTCACTATGAGGGTGACGGGGTCTAATATAGTAGGAGGCCAGTTGGATATGGCTTTCTCTGTTATCCAGAGGCCCTAAACCAGGCGTCCTCAAACTACGGCCCGCGGGCCACATGTGGGTGTTTTTGCCCGTTTGTTTTTTTTTACTTCAAAATAAGATATGTGCAGCGTGCATAGGAATCTGTTCATAGTTTTTCTTAAACTATAGTCCGGCCCTCCAACAGTCTGATGGACAGTGAACTGGTCCCCTGTTTAAAAAGTTTGAGGACCCCTGTCCTAAACAATCATGAAGACTGGAACAAGATTCCTGCTCTCGTAATATATCTACAGTGCATTTTATTTAATTTTAAGTGACATCGTTGTCACAAACTGACATTCAAAAGCTTCTGGGGATATATGTCAAATTAATGGGGGCATTAGAAAATCAAAATTGCTTTAGGTGTTTGTGTGTTTGTTTAAATATATGGGAATATTGTGAGCAGATGCCTGAGTGGTAGAGAAATGAGAGACAGTATTTCTGTGAGACGGGAGATGGGGGCCTGTGGAGGAAAGGACTGTAGTGGAAACTGAAGGAGCTGTTTTCTTGAAGGACTATCAGACAGTAATAATGCAAGTTGCACAATTTAAATCTCTAGGGATTAAGTGAAGGGTCTTCTCCTTGCTTCTGCCTGGAACATACATCTAATACCTCACAGATCTTCACATCTTTCCAGGTGAACACCAACAATGGCCCCAATTCACCTTCATGTGGACTGTTAGGCAAGGTATTTCATTATAGTGCTGATGAGTAATGGCAGGTGTTATGGATGGGCTGAACTGTGTCCTCCCAAAGATTCATATTTTGAAACCCTAATCCCTGGTACCTCAGAGCGTGACTATATTTAAAGATAAGGCCTTTTGACAGGTGATTAAATTAAGATGAGGCTATTAGGGCCCTAATCAAATCTGACCGGTGTCCTTAAAAGAAGAGGACATTTACACATACAAAAAGACACTAGGGGTTTGGGTGCACAGAGGGAAGACCATGTGAGATCACAGCAAGAAGGTGGCCATCGTGAGTCTAAGAGAGAGAGGCCTTGTAAAAACCAAACCTGCTGATATCTTGATCTTGGACTTCTGTCCTCCAGAATTGTGAGAAAATAAATTTCTATTGCTTAAGTCATCTAGCCTGTGGTATTTTGTTATGGCAGCTCAAGCAAAGTAATACATCAGACATAAGAGTACAGAGACTGTAATTGACAGATTGGTTTAGAAACACACAAAACCTTGGTGGCATTCAGGCAAGTGAGAGGGAGATCAGCCCAAGGAATTCCTGGACTGAACAGGTAAATTAGAGATTGCTAGAGACATTTAGATCATTATTTTAAATGGGATCATTTGAAAATCCACCTATTAACAACTAAAATATATTGAACTTTGGAGATGCACTTAACATAGGAGTTAAGTACATAGACCCAGACTTCCTAGGTTTGAATCTAGTTCTGTACATGATCCTGAGTAAGTTAATTAGCCTCTTTGTCTCTCAGTTCTTCATCAGTGGAGATAACAAGACTAACTGCATAGGGTTTTTATAAGGATAAAATGAATTAATATGTATAAAGCATTTAAATTGTTTTAGGAATACAGTGACATACATAAGTGTTAACTATCACTACTCAAATTACCTTATTAAATCAATTTTTAAAAAAACTCTTTAGGCAACTGAGACATGGTAAGGTAAACTAACTAAATATAACAGCATTAGTAAGTAATGGAACCAGTATTTGACCCATAGGTTATTTATTGTACTCCATAGAAACAAAGGCTTTATCTACAAAGCATTACCAAAAAAATGCCAAGTAGACCATTAAACAGAAGCTGTCTTTAGGTTTACTAGGTTCACATGAATACAAAAAAATGACAAATTTACAAACAAAAAAAGTGTTCATTTACTTTGTAACTACAATTTGACCGTTTTATATGATAATGTTTAAGACAATGTATTGAAGCCACTCACTAAACTTCCCTATTTTTCTAAAGACATATTTATTTATGAATAATAAGTAACTAAGGTAAATGGTTAATAATAAATATTTGATTGAGGAAGCAAATAAGGTAAACAGAAATAAACAACTTTTAAAATATATTCAGAATGCTTTACTATATGCATTTTTTATTTTCTATGTTTATTCTTAAAAATTTATTCAAGAAATAGAAATATCTGAATCTTTGATTGAACAATGCCTTCTAAAAGAAAGACTGATTGCACTGTTTCTATTTACAAGTCCATTAATTAACAAACAAGTACATTTGATGAAAGAAGGCATTTTATGTTTTCTTTGGTATACATGTGTCTAGATTAAGAAATACTTCCTCGTTTTCTTTAAGTGCAATATTATACCTGCAAAGTGGTGGTCTGTAAAAGAGAAAAAGAGAGAGAACAAAAAAACAACTATTAGTAAAACAACAGAGTTTATTTCCTTCTCACATAAACATTAGAATAATCTGAGCTTATAACTAGCTAGTTCTGCAAATGCAGACAGTGGGAATAAATCTATAGGATCATTTCCACTCTACCTCATTTGGCTGTGTAGGGATGATATGCTTATGAGAAAGAAAAAAATATCTGTTTCAACTTCTCTCCTTGCTGCTTCACTGGAATATTAATACTCACAGTATATGGGAAATGTATTTAGGTACTGAAATAGCTGAAACTCGAACTCAGTTCAGTGGCCAGGCAGTTCCTTCCATCATGATCGCCAGCATGAAAGAGTTGGGGTGAATTGCATAGACAAATTTTGCCAAAGTTATATAATCAACCTTTTGCCACATTTATATACCTAATGTTCTCTTTTTGCCATAAATATAAGAGCCTTTAAATTTTATTTTACTTATTTTAAATTGACAAATAAAATTGTATATATTTATTGGGTAAACCATGATATGTTGAGGTGTATATATACTTCAAAGTACATAATACATTGTAGAATGGTTAAATTTGGCTAATTAAAATACTGATTACCTCACAGAGTTATTTTTGTGATGAGAACATTTAATATCCACTCTCTTAGCATTTTTCCAAGAATAAAATATGTCATTAACTAAAGTCACCATGCTGTATAATAGATCTCTTGAACTTATTCCTCCTATCTCACTGAAATTTTGTGGCCTTTGACCAACATTGTCCAAACACCCCCTCCCGGACTCTGGTAACCACCATTCTACACTCTGCTTCTATGAGATCAATTTTCTTAGATTCCATATATGAGTGAGAACATGTAATATTTGTCTTTTTGTGACTGGCTTATTATACTTAACATAATGTTATCCAGGTTCATTCATGTTGTTGCAAATAAAAGATGTCCTTCTTTATCATGGCTTAAGTATTGATTGTGTATATGTACTACATTTTTTCTAATCCACTCATCTGCTCACGAACACTTAGGTGGATTTTTATATCTTGGTTATAACTAATGCTGCAAAAAACATAGATGTAGTTATCTTTTCAACATACTGATATTCATTTCCTTTAGATATATACCAAGTAGTATGATTGCTGGATCATATTGTAGTTCTATTTTTAATATTGTAAGGAACTTCCTTACTCTTTTCCATAATGGTTCTACTAGTTTTCATTCCTACCAACAGTGTTTAAGTGTTCTTTTTTAATTTTATGCCACAATCTTGCCAACACTTGTTATTTTTTTGTCCTTTTGATAATAGCCATTCTAACAATGAGGTTATATCTCACTGTGGTTTTCAGTTGCATTTCCTTCATGATTAGTGATGTTGGACATTTTTTTATAGACCTGTTGGCCATGTGTATGTATTCTTTCAAGAAATGTCAATTCATCAGTTCTACTTGATCCCCCCCCCAAAAAAAAAAAAAAAAAAGAAATGTCAATTCATATCCTTTTCTCATTTTTAAATTGGGTTATTTATTTTCTTATTATTGAGTTGTTTGAGTTTATTATATGTTTTGGATATTAACTACCTTTCAGAAGTATAGTTTGCAAACATTTTCTCCCATTTGGTAGGTTGTCTCTCACCCTGTTAATTATTTAGTTTGCTGTGATCTCATTTCTCTATTTTTGCTTTTGAGGTCATTTTTTTAAAAAAAAATCATTGTTAAAATCGATGTTATGGAGCTTTTCTCTTATATTTTCTTCTAACATTTAATAGTTTCTAGTCTTAGATGTAAGTATCTAATCCATTTTCAGTCAATTTTTGTATATGGTGTGAGATAAGGGTCTAATTCCATTCTTCTGTATGTGGATATGTTGTTTTCCCAACACCATTTATTGAAGATACTGTCCTTTCCCCTTTGTGTGCTCTTGGTACCTTTATTGAAAATCAGTTGGCTATAAGTGTGTGTCAATTTATTTCTGGGTTTCCTATTCTTTTCCATTAGTCCATGCCTCTTATTTAATTCCAATACCATAACGTCTTGCTGGGTACAGTTTTGTAGTATATTCTGAAGACAGGTAGTGAGATTCCTCCAGTTTTCTTCTTTTTGTTGGAAATTTCTTTCACTATTCAAGCTATTTTGTGGATCCATGCACATTTTAGGATTGTCTTATATATGTGAAGAATGTCATTGGTATTTTGAAAGATATTGTATTACATCTGCAGACCACTTTGGGTAGTGTAGACATTTTAATAATATTAATTCTTCCAAGCTATGAATGCAAAATATCTTTCCATTTGTTTATGTCTTCTTCAATTTCTTTCATCAATGTTTTATAGTTTTCAGTGTAGAGATATTTTCCCTCCTTGATTAAATTTATTCCGAAGTATTTTTTTTGTAATTATTGTAAATAAGATTGCCTTCTTGATTTCTTTTTCTGAAACACTACTAATTTTTGTATCTTAATTTTGTATCCTGCAACTTAACTTCATTCCTAATATTCTGTTACAATGTTACTTAGGATAAATGTCCCAATAATAACACAAAGACAGAAAAAATGCCTGTTTCCACCAGACAAATGAGAAAACCTAACAATTCATAGATCACTGGGTAAAGCACACAGCAAAGTCTTATCTAAGTAGTAGGACTAATTAAGCCTGAACTAAGCACTTATCCAATCCTGTCTAATAAATCTTGAAAGTAGGACCTTAATGGATCAACCTCTTTATAAAGTAACTTAACAGCATCTTAAGAATAAACCTCAAGAATATTTACAAGAATACAACAATATAGAGCACCCAACATAATAAAATTCACAGCATCTGGAATCTAATCAAGAATTTCTAAATATACAAAAAAAAAGTAGGAAAGTGGACCCACATGAGGAGAAAAATCAACTAATTGAAAATAACCCAGAACTAGCACAGATGTGGAAATCAGCAAATACATTAAAACTGTATATTTTATATGTTCAAAAGTTAAGTAGTGACAAGAGATATAAAAACATGAAAATCAAACTTCAAGAGGTAAATACTACAATGTTTGAGATGAAAAGCTCATTAATGGAATTAATAACAGATTAGACATTGCAGAAAAAAAGATCAGTGAACTTGAAGACATAGAAACAGAAACTATACAAAATGAAATGGAGAGATAAAATCGAATTAAAAAATTAATAGAGCATCTATGAGCTGTGTGACAACTTTCAAGCAACTAAAATTCATGAAATTGTAGTCCCCAAAGGGAAGGTAAAAGAGAGACACAGGAAAAATAGTCTCAAAAAATAGTTGAAAATATAGATGAAATTTGTTGAAAACTATAAACCCACAGATCCAAGAAGGTCAACAAACTCCAAAAACAAGAAGTATGAAAAAATTACAAGGTACTTCATGATCAAGTTGTTCAAAATCAATGACAAAGAGAAAAAAATCTTAAAACCAGCCAGAAAAGTAAAGCACATTATCTTCAGAGCAACAAAGAAAACGTTAACAACAAATTTCTCATTAGTTTCAGTGCATGGCAGAATATGGCACAGCAACATCTTTCTAGGAGTGAAAGTAAAAATCTCTCAAACTAGAATTCTATATCCAGAGAATTTATCTTTCAAAATGAAGACAACACAAAGACTTTTCAGACACAAAAAGTTGAAAGAATTCACCATCTGCATTATACTACAAAAATATTAAAGCAACTCATTGAATCAGAAGGTAAATTATACCAGATGAAAATACACAACTAGTTAAAGCTTTGAAAAGCATGAACAATGGTAACTCTGTGGATAAATAAATAAGATTTTACCTAATTATTAGTCTCCATTTAATGGAGAGTTTTAACAAAAATGATTCAACATATTATGGAATTTTTAGCATAAGTACAAATAAAATGTATGTGAACATAGCACAAAAGCTAGAATGAGAGAGATGGAAGTATACTACTTCCAAAGTTCTCATGATATATATGAAGTGGTAAAATTCACTTGAAAGTAGACTGTGATAAATAAAAGATTATAATACAAACACCAAAGAAATCACTACAATAATAAAATGAAGAATTATAGCTAACAAACCTACAACAGAGATAAAATGGAACCATGAAACTACTTGATTTATCAAAAATAAATAAAAGGCAGACAAGGAGAAAAACAGAACAAAATACAAATGGGACAAATAGAAAACAAAACAGCAAGATGATAGGTTTAAAACAAATGATGTCAATAATCACATTAAGTTAAATGATGTAAATGCCCTCAATCAAATGGCAGAGATAATCAACATGATTTGTTATTTGAGAAATGCAAATTAAAAACAGAGATACGTCTACATATCCACTAGAAAGGTTAAAATGAAAATTAAACAGAAAACATACAAACAAAAAACTGATGAAGGTGCAGTTTGGGTACAGGAGAGCATGGAATTCTCATATATTGCTGGTAGGAATGTAAAATGTATAGTCACTTTGGAAAACAGTCTGTCAGTTTCTTATAAAGTTAAATACACACTTACCATATGACCCAGCAATCCCACTTCTGGTGTCTATCCAAGGGAAATGAAAACTTGTGTTCACATAAAAACCTATATGCCAAATATTTATGGCAGCTATATTCACAGACATTAAAAAGAGCAATCAAACTATTTGTCTTCTTACAGGTGAATGAATAAACAAACTGTGGTATATTCATACAACAGAATATTATTTATCAGTAATATTCCAATGATATGAGTAATATAAGGGAAAGAAGCAATACTTAAAGACCTCATACTGTACACAGCCCCCCATTACTATGGGTTCCACATGTTTGGATTCAAAGAACCAGAGACCAAAAATATTTGAAAGAAAAATGGATGATTGTGTCTGTACTGAACACAAATAGACTTTTTTTCCTTATCATTATTCTCTAATAAATATGGTATAATGACTATTTACACAGCATTTGCATTACATTAGTTATTATAAGTAATCTAGAGATGATTTAAAGTATAGGACAGGATGTGTGTAGGTTATATGTATAG